CCGAAGAAGTGGGCTGTAGTCCACGAAAGCTTATGCTCTAATAAATTTGTTAGTCTCTAAGGTGCCACAAGTACTCCTGTTCTTTTTGCCTGTTCATCATGTTTGAAGCAGGTTGTTGGGAAGCAATGTGGGAAAGCTTGCATTGCTGCTGCCCAAGTTGTCTGGTCTGGAGGGGGAAATATGAAGTCCTTAGTTCTCCAGGGCTGTAAATACTACATCTGTCATCCAGTAGTAAATAGAGTAAGAACTTTTGAGGAAGTAACTTTTTAAATTACACAGCATGACCCTGAAATGTTTCATGTTGAACTATCTGCAGCCACACCAGTACCAAATTAGCCATCCTTCCCCTCCTTTCCCCCCAAAAATATGTACATGCAAAGATTACATCCCTTACATCATTTATTCTCTCCATTCACATTTGATGAGTCTTCAGGGTTGGTTTGGTTAAGTATGGAGTGCAAGAAATGTGGTGTACAAGCTTGTTAGTGTTGTAGTGTAGTCTTCTACATAAATAGCTGCAAGCTCTTAGCATTAGGGCGGGGAAGAATCCCTATGCACTGTTATCTGCTAGGAATCTGTTCCCATTCCAGTTCAGCTCATGTAGTTTAGGCATGGAGGCCTGCTCTGTAGTAAGTGCAAGATCCACCTTCTTATGCCTGAAACAGAGTCCTGTCCATGCTCCCAGCTTTGGAACATGGTGCCCAGTTGTAACCCAGGTAACTGAAGCAAGGTTTGTGTCCGTACAATGTAACTTTTAAACCGTGCTACCACATTAGTTCAAGCCCTGCCAGGGAGGGTAAACACAAATGTAGTCTTTTGACTTAACACAGTGGTTCTCAAACTATTGTACTGGTGACCCCCTTTCACATAGCAAGCCTCTGAGCGTGACCCCCCCTTATAAATTAAAAAAACTTGTTTTTATATTTAACACCATTATAAATGTTGGATGCAAAATGGGGTTTGGGGTGGAGGCTGACAGCTCGCGACCCCCCCATATAACCACCTCGCGACCCCCGAGGGGTCCCAACTCCCAGTTTGAGAACCCCAACTTAACATGATTCACACTACCCATGTGGGAAGTGCACTGCATTGGTTGTACCAAAACACTTCCCAGAGAGAGAGTGGACAGGCTAAACCGATTTGGAATGTAGTTTTAACAACACACACAGGGCTGATATACATTACAAGGGAAGATTGTTGTACTGTTTAGTCCTGCTAGAGCTGTAAAAAGCATTGTCCACACACAACATTGTGCAAGTGTTGCTAGTATTGCTGAAATTGCACAACCTCCCACATCACTTTGAGCAGGGGGCTGGACTAGATGACCTCCTGAGGTCTATTCCCGCCCTAATCTTCTATGATTCTATGATCACGTCCATCCACAATCATTTACACATTTTTGCCACCCTGAACTACCAGTGTTGTAAAAGAGCCTACCAGCTCAGTCCCACTGAGGGATCTGATATTCCTGTTACTACTGTGCTGTGTTAGTCATTACTAGCGTGAAGTTTTGCAGTTGAACCAGCAGATCAGAAAATTATTTTCTGCCTCTGACACAGAGCTGCCATTTTGCCAGTGTCTTTTTTAGGCAGTAAAGAGCAGTCCGTGTATTGTTTTATTTTGTTTTTTTAATCAGAAAGTTTCATTTGAAACCTAATTGTGTCTCCACATAACTAGAAATCTTTGCACTATAACCTTCTGAGTAGTCTTGCAGGTCCAGTTTACTTTCAGACAAAATAGCTTGGCGTGGAAGCGGGTGCAGTCTGAAATGTATGGGGGCTGAAACTCTGAAGGGCTTGTCTATGTTGAGAAGAAATTGTTGTAGGGACATAATTGCGTGAAAAGTTTGGTCCTCTGACTTGTCCTTGTGACTGTTTAGCAATGTTTGCGTATGTGGCAAACAGGTCTTAAAAATGTAGTTTTACCAATGCATTCTGGGATTCCTGAAGTAACTAACCCATTGATAATGGGAACAGAGGCTACTGGTCTATTTCTAAACACAAGACATTGCATTGGGATGGAGCTAGGAGGACAAGCTGAACTGGTACCTCTGTAATGTTTGACTTCCTTTTTCCTTGATGGGGATATACCTCTGTAAACTGCACTGATTCTGCTAGAACTGAACTAAAGTCATGGTCCAAGTTGTGGCAGCCAGTCTTTGTAAGATGTCTTGGACAATTGTGTGTGGACAGAAGATGCTGAAGTCTTTGCAATCTAAAGGCATTCCAGGCAAAGGCTTCCTACAGCCATATTTAGTTTATTTATTAACAGAGTGTAGAGAGGGCTTCAGAGTCCTGAGTTGGGGATTTGATTCAGTTAGGCACCCTAAAGTTAAGGTTCTTTTTCATATCTTGGGCTGGAAATCTTCTGAGAGAGAAGGGAGGCAGGCAGGCTGCAGATAACACAAATCTAGCCATTCCCTGCAGTATTTTGGCATGTCCAGTATTGGGCAGAACCAGGAGGTGTGTTGCAGCTACACACAAATGAGAGAACAAGTATTCAATCAAGTTTTTAACCAAAGCTTTAATTAAACTTCAACAAATTGCAGTTTGTTTTGGGTCAGTTATTTTCTCTGAATTGATCCATCCCTCTCTAGTTGAAATATTGTGATATTCACGGCATCCTGAATTTAGATTCCTAGGTACAATGGGGAGGGTGCGGGCCTCTTCTGCCTATTATCTCTACTCCCTAGTGTAGCTTCTAACATATTTGCACTTCTAGTAAATTTTTCTGCCTGAACCACAGGTGGGAAGATGCTTAGTGAGTGAAAGTGGCTATTCTGCCAGTGTGAGCTGAATTCTTTAATGACTGGATGCAGGAAGAATCACAGTGGAATGGAAGCTGTGTTGACTCATTATAGTTATACTAGGTCAGCCATACCTTTTAGACATTGGGAGTCTGGCTAGAGACACTTGGCCGCAATACATTTTAACTGGGTGTGCTATCTCTAAAACACTCCCGTCAAGGGGTACTGTGTCAAGCAAGATGAATGACATTTTTACTGCGCTCTTGGTAGGGTAAGTGTCCACATTTCCACTTCATTTCCCTGTTGGATTACATGCCAGTGGCTAACAGAGCTGTAGAAAGAGCGAGATACACAGTGGGTTCCCTATACCAACTGATTTAAGAAATTACTCTGGGGCGGGGAAGGAGGAAATAGTGGAGTAACTTCTTTGGGCCTGGAGTGGCTAGTAGCCGTGTGCTCATAGTTAGATGGTGTTGGTCTGGTTTCAGTTATTGCAGTGACTCATGTTTGTTTATGGCCAGTCAGTATTTCTGTGTATTTTGAGGAAGCACAGCCCAACACTACACTGGTGAGAGGTTAGTAAGTAGTCGAAATGGGCTTTCTCCAGCTTGGCTTCTCAGTCCATTACTTTTTCTTTTTACTTTATTTGTTGAAAAAAATAAAAAAATCAAATGGACACGTCAGCCCTTATAGGCCCTAAATTCAGTGTACATGTTACAGAAAAGATATAGGCTCCTTAATCTGCCTCGTAAATAAAACCCAGTAGCTAGTGACAGTCATGTACAAAACCACCCTATGTGTCTGTGAGATGATTGGACTTGGTTTCAGGACAGATGTTTCTCTCTTTACAGGGTTTATAATAACTACTGTCTGCCTGCGCTTCTCTCCCAGGCGAGTTCTTGCAGTGCCAAGGGTTGTCTTCTTCCTCCTTCCTTGAGGTGACTGCCCCGTTGCTTTATCTGGATGTGGCTTCCTTTAGAGGCAATCTTTTCCACTCCTGAAACAGCCTTCAGGAGACTCTCCTTCCTCTTTGCTCCATTGCCAGCTTCGGTGTAGTACTAGACTGATCCCCTTCAGGGCAGCCAGCAGTATTATCACTTGATGACCTAATCGGCTCCACCCCATCACACTTAGCTCATAGTGTTACCACCAGTTGCCATTATAAGACGCCTGTTACTCCGATACATATTGCATCTATTTTAAATTTGGGGCCTCAGCAACTTGACTGTTCTGTTTTTCTTAAGTTATGTTTTTAGAAAGAACAGTAGTAACTTTTGTGTTCCATTTAACTGACCTAAAAATCAAACCCTTCGGCTTTTCACTGTGCCTTCAAAGGAAGTATCAGCCCTTCTAGGCTGCTTGGCAGCATTTAAAGAGACTTAACTATGTCACTGGTGTTGGGTTTGTAGGTCCCTGACTAGTGAAGTTTAATGCAGTGTAGTTGTAGCTGTGTCGATCCCAGAGTATTAGAGACACAAGGTGGGTGAGGTAATAGCTTTTATTGGATCATCTGTTGGCGAGAGAGACAAAGACACCGTCCCATCTCAGCAGTATAGTGGCATCTCTCGAATGCTAGTCTCTCTCTCCAACAGAAGTTGGTCTAATAAAAGCTATTACCTCACCCACCTTGTGTCTCTAATGGAGTTTGTGAGTCAAGGAACTGACTCCCCGGAGTTGTTGGAGAACCTGTAACAATCAATGCCCAAAGCAGCACACTGTTGTCATCAGCCTTCTCCTTTAAGCTGACTGTGAGTGGGTGTGTTCATGAAGGGAAAGGGTGATTCTCAGAATGAAGTTGTATTAACAGGCTGTTTCCAAGGACCAGGATTGGTCGGTGCTTTGCTAACTCCACGGTCATCTCCTTTCGCTGGGAAATTATCACTTCTTGTAGCTGTACAGAGACGCTTTGCTCTGGAAATTCCCATGCTGGATATCACTGTGGCTTCCTCTTGCTCATGGACATACATGGAAGTGTAATGTGACCTTGTTTATTAGGGCATGCATTTCATTGATGGTTACGTTTGCTGAGAAACCCAAGGAGTTAATCTGCATGCAGAGGTTCTGTGTGGACTATAAGCTAACTCTGTTTGTTCCACCTCCCCTCCAGAACTGTCAAGTAACCCATCTTTGGCTTCGATCCTCATCCCTGCTCATGCTCGGAATCAAGCAGCTGCTTCAACCCCTACAAATGCTACAGCAGCCTCAGGTGAGAACATGCGCCTGCCTGCCTGTCTCCCTTCTCTCTCAAACGACACTCCTTCCATTAAGAAGCTTGAGTAACAGACCCTGGGGTGGATGAGGAATAATTTAATTCCAACTCCATTTTAAACTCAGTCTTGTTGGATTAGCTGGCTGTGGGCACTTTGGCAATACTAACCTGAGTCCTAACCCAGCTCATTTTGATGACGCATCCTAGTGTCTGTGTCTTTCACTCAAATTTCTAGTGTGAAGAAGTGGAACAATGAGAATAAGCTCACCTTCTAAAGATCCTCCTGGTCAGTTAATTTCTGGACCCCACAGACATTCAGCGCTGATTTTGTTAAGCTCTAAACTTTAGCTAGTTTTAGAGAGGCCTAGGCAAAAAAGAAACGATCAGCTCAGTAAATGGAGCCTCATCTGAAAGGTTTATTTCCAAGCAAATTTTGACTGATTGTGGATAAACAAGATTTTCTCACTAATGCAAAATACATTAGCACTTCCAAAAAGGATTACCAAGGGATTCACTTTTAGTGTATTGATTTCTGCTGCACCTAAGCAGTTACAGCTTCTTATTGTGGATGCCCTTATACCAGCTTTGGGCACAAATAATGCTCTGGCTTTTTGCCCAACCAAGAGTGGTTCTCTTCTTTGTCTGTCTCTTGCTGTCAGAAACTTATAAAACCTCATTACTGGCCTGGAGACCTACCGTGGTGTGTTGGGATCCTATATGAACTTACAAGTTGAGCAGTGTTAGAGCTTGGCTAAGAGATCTCCAAGGAAAACTTGGGAGTGCAAGTATGATCTAGTGTTGATGATTCAAGAGAGGGCACTCTTTCTCCCTGAGCCAGTGCTGAGCCAATGTCTCAGTATGCTCTCAGGGGTTTTGTGTGGCTGAAGGTGTTGTCTTTCAGATGAGCTGTAGGATGTGCACAGGGAACAAAAAGTATGATTGCTTACAGGTGATGAGAAATTAACTAGTGTGAGTTCAAAAAAGCACTTTCCTTGCTTTGCTTAGCACAGCTTTCGAAGAGCTCACATGGGGGGAAAGCATTTCAGGTCAAGTCCTAAATGTGAACTGTACTAAAAAATGGCTAATTAGTGTCTGCATTTTAACCCTCCTCTTAGTAGCCACTGTATTGCTGAGATGGGCCGGTGTCTTTGATCCTCATGAGAATCTTTTGCAGCTACAGAGGAATTTTGATATATTGTTCAATATTTGATAACTTTCAATTACATCTTCATAGTCTCTTGCATACACAGCTATTTTGATGACCTTGGACTCAAACCTGTGTAGTTCTTACTCTTACAAAATTCTTGTGCCGGGGAAATTTAGCCTGAATTAAGATTTCAGGATTAGGTTGTGTTGGAAACTGTGCAAACCTGATTTGCTTTAGCTCTGGCAATAGAATTCACTGTCGAGACCAGGGGAGGTGTCAACAAAATTTTTGGTGGCCTCACAGTGTGATGACTAACTCTTGCTCGTGGCTGCTCTGACAATATTTCCTAAAATACTTAATTAAGTTCAGAAAAAACAAATATATTTACATGTCCAAATCATTGCAATTGATTGATGTAGGTTTTTTTTGCAGACTCAATAATAAAAATAATATACAGTTTGGTGCCCTCGCCTCCCCTGGTCCCCACTGCTTTCTCCCCATTGCCTCGGGCTTCCTTCCATTGTCTCAGACCCCAGGCTTCCCCCACTTCTTGCCTCTGGACCACAGCACCCAGTAAGGCCGGCCCTGCAAAAGCCCAGAGCCCCATAGCTGGAGCCGGGGGGTGGGGGTGGCTGAAATCCAAAGACCTGAAGTTAGGGTGGGGGAGGGTGAAGCCTGCTGCCAGAGCCTCTGGCTGAACCAGGAGAGGGGGGCTGAAGCCCACCCCTGAGTGCTGCGGGGAGGGGCCACTGCTTTGCCCCCTCCCCCATCTCTGCGCAAGAAGCTGTTGTGGACGCAGGAAAAACCCCTGGTGGTCACGGTGGCCGCATTTGAGAAACACTGGGTCCCTGAGCAGCAAAGTTCTTCTAATCATTAAACCAGTATCAGAGCAGCATGGGAATGGGTTTGCCATCTGACACAGGGCACCCACACTGACAATGACACTTTTCAGCAAAACGTTTGCCCTTGTAAATAAATTATTCAAAGCCACTCTTACAGCGGTGAGATGTTAGCTGATTGTAGATGTAGCATGAGATTTAAAAAAGTTACGCAAGTTAGTGGGTTATAATTGCATGGTAATACAGTGTGGCATTTTGTCTTATGCCTGGGCTACACTAGCAGGGGGGAAGGGCGGGAACTAAGGTTCGACTTACCTGGCTGTTCTCACGGCTGCGAGTCGACTGCCGCGGCTCCCCCGTCGACTCCGCTTACCCCTCCTGCCGAGGTGGAGTACGGGCGTCAATTCGCGGATCGATTTATCGCGTCCAGACGAGACGCAATAAATCGATCCCCGATACATCGAACACTACCCGCCGATCCGTGCCTTTATGCCAGTGAACCTGATCAGTTAGCTCAGGTAGTAGCCGCTCAGACTTCAAAATCCAGAGAGTCCAGGTTTAGTCCCCACAAACAACCCTCCTTAGGGCCTTGTTACATAATCACTGTCACTTCTGATGGTGCTGAAGTGTTATTGTTACATAGCGACATTAAATCTGTGTCTTTATAATGCAATAATTGAAAATTCAGGATACTGTGTTGATCAAAACTGGGATGGGGGAGCCAATTTTCAGCATGACAGAACACTGTCTACATCTTCCTGAGTCCAGAGCAGAGTCATGGTTCGATAATAACCTCTAAAATATCCTCTGATTGGTAGTTTTCCCCAAGCCTAGCATGGTAATGCTGGTCAGGAGACTTTCTCTCCCCAAATTCTGTTGGCATGTAAACTGCACTCTCTTTGGAATGGTAGCACACCTTTATTTAACATTTGTTACAATAGTGCCTAGAAGAGCTAGTCACGCCCATTGTGTGCTAGGTCCTGTACAGACACATAAGATGACACAGGCGCTGTGCAAATTGCCCTGACATCTGTAGACTCATATACTGGGGGAGGAGTGTGCATAAAAAAAATTTAAGAACCGATGGGTTGAATTTCTGCTTTAAGTGAAAAACTCAACTCAGCTTTAACTTAAATAATTTTTTTTTAAATTAATGGAGATATCCTATCTCCTAGAACTGGAAGGGACCTTGAAAGGTCATCAAGTCCAGCCCCCTGCCTTCACTAGCAGGACCAAGTACTTGATTTTGCCCCAAATCCTAAGTGGCCCCCTCAAGGATTGAACTCATAACCCCGGGTTTAGCAGGCCAATGCTCAAACCACTGAGCTATCCCTCCCCCCTATGGAATCCCAACCAACATCTTGAATGCACACACTGTGTGAGAGACATTATATGTGTGGTCACAACCAGCATTTGATTTTCACAGTGACTTACACCCAGCTGAGTATCTGGATCAACACCAACTTACTGCAGATGAGGATCTGGTCTATAGTGTGTCTCTGAATGTGTTTGCTGCCATCAAACATGTGGTGGCAATAGCTATCTGCTGAAATGCATTTATCATGCAACTTTGACAGCTTTATCTGAACTTCACCTGCTAAACAGTCCCTCCCAGAACTTACTGTAACATCATAGCTTCAAACAGCTCCTGTGTAAAATGCTCCCAGAAAAAAAGCCTCCCAGCTGACTGTTACCTGATTTCCTCAAAAATGTCTTTGGCCTGTGGCTCAGGCTGGGCAATATTTAGTCCTGGGTGAGTGAATGTCACTTGCTTCTAGCCCAGTGAAATATCAGCCCTTGAAGTGCTGGCTGTATGTGAAAGGGAATTATTGTGTGTAATTTTTAAGAGATTTCCAAATACATTGGTTATAAATTCCCTCTCCTTCAGATTCCTGTACGGGTGGGCTCATGGTACTGATGGGAGCTGGCTTTTCAGGAAGGTGGGTATGAAATTTTGCTCCAATACCATTTGTAAACTTACTCAAACACCCCTAAACTAGGATTTCTTTGACCCAGTTGCATGTTTGAATACATGATGATTTTGGGGCAGGATGAAAGTTGTACTTGCGTCAAGTTTGGAATAATTGTATTGTTCACAAAGTGCTTTTCCACTAGTGCCTTATGCAGGTCATCCTAAAAGTGTCAATAAAGCCCTTATGCCACAACATCATGTATTTTTCTTCCTGGATCAACAAGCGGCCAGATAGCTGCTCTGCTAGTCAGCATTTCTACCTGAGGGGGGGTGCCATCCTGCATGGGACCCTGGCCAGCATAGCTTCAGGGATCATTTTCTGATGCATCATGCTGTGCTAATCCCTTTGATCTAAAATGAGACATGTTCCAGCATCCTCAACAGCAAGGTGGGACAGAGCGGAACTAGAGTTGCCTGCCAGCGCAGGGCAGTTGCACAAGACCTTGACAACACTCATAATAAAGTAATATTTAGCACATAGATGTGCAGTTTCACCTTGACAGCACTTGGAAAGCATTTATTTCTCATCACCCATGAGAGAGAGGCAAGTATTATCCCAGTTTTTTAGACGAGGAAAATGAGGCTCAGGGAGGTGCACAGATTACACAGGGTGTCAGCAACTGAAATTGCTGGCTCCCAGCTTTGGGCTTAGACCACTAGATCACAGTTCTCTATAGAGAGCAGTAAAGTACAACAGGAGCCTGGATTTCTAGGCTCAAAGAACATCTCTCTGATGAATTTTGTCTCACCCCAACCTTCCCCTGGAGTCCTTAATTGTCCTTTTAAGGACCCTCAAACTATTGGCAGGCTACCTCAGTGTGTCCTTTCAGGTTAGCATTGCAATATATCAGGAATGAAAATCCCTGTGGCCTTTGACAAGTTCTTAAATTAAGTAGCATCTGAGGGTTGTAATACCCAGACTGCAGCTCCATCCTCTATAGCATCCTTTCTGGTAGGCTTCTGAGGGACACCATGTCCCTGACCAGAAAGCGGAGGCAATTCCAGAAGTAGGACTGGGAGAAGCACCAGCAACATGCTGCCTTAAGGAGCAGTAGATCACCACCATTCTTGACAAGGCTGTGGAGACAATAATTAGGCCTAAGCCCAATACATGGTATGTTTCCATCAGGTGCAGAGCTGTCAGGTTGATAATGAGGAGGCTTCTGGCTGAGAACAGTCTCACCCCAAGTACTGTTGAGCCTGCTGCAGTCACCTCCCCAGCCTGGGGAGATTTAGCGGGAACCAGCAAACACCACAGTCACAAGTGCTTATCACAGTGGCACAAACACTAATCTACCCCAACAAAAAGGCTTTTTCTCTCTTTTTTACTGGTTCTGTCAAGGGCACAGATTTCCTCATGTACTCTGCTTAAGTGCTGACTCCCCAACGAAGGAGGAAGAATCTGAGTGTGCAGGGCCCCTTTCTGTGCTGGGTGCTTTCAGTGCAACGTCTTAGTATGGAGGCACTGAAACTAGCATATAGCTGCGCTCGTCCTGCTCCCCAGCCTGCACTCTGGTGATGTGGCAGCACAGAACCTGCAGAAAAGCCAAGGTGGTGTCTTTCCTAGAGTTCATGGTGTACAGCACATGGGTGTTTGCAGGCATGTACCAGCTCCCGGAGCAGCGTGCACAGTCTGATCCCAAATTGGAAGGCCTTTGTATATATTGTTGTAGAAGAGCCACAAGTATCGTAACCTAGGCTGTCTCCTTGCTTACCCCTCCCTCTAATGTGTACACACAGCTGATCAGAGGCAAATGGTCTGCAGGAACTCAAGCTAGCAAACTGACCATGAGAGAAGCAGGTTTTATGTACATCACTTGGGGGTAGACTTTTCCCCATTCCTCTCTGTCCGTTTGATAATTACATCTTAACACTTTTAGCTGCGCTGTCTTCAGGGGCAGTAAATCAAGAGTCATAGCATATTCCAACAAGTGGTAAACAGAACACACAGTGATGCTGTCTGTTATATGTATTCTCATACCCAATGGGACTGGGACTTTTCAGCTTGGAAAAGAGATGACTAAGGGGGGACACGATAGAAAAAGCAGGGACATGATAGAGGTCTATAAAAGCATGACTGGTGTGGAGAAAGTAAATAAGGAAGTGTTATTTACTCCTCCTCACAACACAAGAACTAGGGTTCACCCAATGAAATTAAGAGGCAGCAGCTTTAAAACAAACAAAAGGAAGTAGTTCTTCACACAACACAGAGTCAGCCTGTGGAACTCTTTGTCAGAGGATGTTTTGAAGGTCAAGACTGTAAAAGGGTTCAAAAAAGAACTAGATAAATTCCTGGAGGATAGGTCCATCAAGGGCTGTTAGCCTGGATGAGCAAAGATGCAACCCCATGCTTTGAAGTGTCCCTCGCCTCTGTTTGCCAGAAGCTGGGAGTGGGCTACAGGGGATGGATCACTCCATTGCCTGTTCTGTTTATTCCCTCTAAAGTACCTGGCATTGCTTCTGGCACTGTCGGAAGACAGGATACTAGGCTAGATGGACCATTGGTCTGACCCAGTATGGCCCTTCTTATGTTCAGTGTGATGGTGAGTTAGATAGTTAGCGTGAACGGATAGCTATCAGAACAGCAGGGACTATATTTTAAATCCAAGGGCTGTCGATAATGCCAACAACATACTGGTAAAATATTGGATTGCTATCTTAAGTACATTGGGATGATTTTTACTGCATTTGAGGAACCATTCTGGGGTGGAGGGAAGCCAGGACTGGAAAATAGCCTGCTACCCGGAGTAGGATTTCTCTTCTCAGCTTGATAATCCCATTTTCTGATCCTGGTTATCACTTCTCAGATGTGGGTAGGTGGTCACTCTCTTTTTCCGTTTGTCTCCTTTTCTCCTAGGTGATGATGTACTGTTAACCTTCTCTCTCCTGGAGCGTATTGTCTCACTCTTCCATCATCCAGTGCTGTGCTTTTCTGGGCTCTCTTCCTTATTTATCAGTGTCCTTTTTCCAGTGCGGTGCCCCCTACTTTGGTCATTATTAAGAATGGCTAGATAAAAGAACTTCATCAACAAACATGTATTCAGCTGCACAGTATATCCCTAGAGTTACTGTTGTATTTTTTATTGCAGCTGCATTGCATGATAAGCTCTTTACTGGTGTGGAGATGGTGTCGCCCCCAGTTTTTCTCTACACAGCCTCCGATTTTGTACTTGTGCTAGCCACTGCTTTCCTTCAACTGAATTGTTATATTTACTTACATCAATCTCTGCCCCTTTTTAATGAGCCTATTTCTCTCAAGATCTCCAGTTTATGTTCATCCAATCTAACCTCAGCTGTGTTGTGATAGCTTCTTGTGTGATACCATCTGCAACACTGATTAGTTTACAATTAATTGTATTTTTTTAGTTTGTTAGTGGGGAGGAGAGAATAAAAGGGAGAGTGCCCTGTGCTAATTCTCAATTATTACCTTTCTCCAGCTTAGTATTTGTAATGATCATAAATTTCTCTTTCTTCATGGTCTGTGTCAGCCAATTTTGTGTTATCCATACTCACTGGACAACAGCTTAGTTTTCTGTGTGGGACTATACCAGATACATTTTCCTTTTCCACCAGAGCTGTAATTGTGCATAAGATTTATCAGCTTTGTCTGTCCTCTACAAAAACGTGGTTAATTGGCCATCATGTTGTTCTTATATATAGGTTTCTGTGTTGACACCTCTAATATTTTACCCAGTTAACAGCATCCTGACTTTTGTTTTATCCTGTTTTAAATATTTGCTTTTTCCAGGCTTCTTACACGTCACCTATACTCCTCAAATGTTCACAAATGCACCAGCAAAACATTGAGATTCTCTCTGGAAGGACCTTTCGGTCACAGTCAAAGATCCAGCTTGCCAACAGATTTCTATTTTGTTATAAACTGAAATGATCTGTGCTGCTTCTTGTACAACAAATGAAAGAATGCCATTGAAAAGACCGAGTTTCCAAAGAAATAGGAAAAAGAGAGAATCCTTTGCTGCACTTCCTTAGAAAGCATCTTGACACATGCCCATCTTACACTATAGAGTCTCTTTCCAGTGAACACTGTTGTCTGAGTTAGGGAAGAGAGAGAGCGTGTTTCAGGTTATTCACCTCCAGGCACTGATCCTCCAACAGTGCATTGTATAAGCCTCATTACTGGCTTCAGCCTTGACATTAATCTGCTTTCAGCAGTTAGGAAGGTGGCAAGTCTATCTTGTGTTGAGCAACCACAAAATAAAGCAGGGTGGATAAAAATCAATTATTTAAAAAAATAAATAAATAAAATTGGATTTTTTAATTTAAATTAGATTTTTTTGATAAAATGCTTTTTCAGGAAAAAACCTATCTAAAGATAGTTTTAATTAAAATACATTATAGCTCAAAGATATCTCCTCATGGACTAGGGATTATAAATTCTAATTCTATAGTATGAGACAATACATTCATGTAATGTTTAAGAAAAGTTTGGTAAATGAGTTCCAATAGTTCATGGATTAGGGACCCAATCTTATGGGGGTTCCAGGGGCTTCTGTATAGATTGTTTAGGTTAATCTTTCTATCTACCCAACGGGACTCAGTGCTGAACCTAGAAGATACATCGGAGATGCTTAGTTTTGAAGTTCTCAAACTGTGGATTTGTCTCTCCAGAGGTAACATGCGTGTTAACAGCAAAAAGGTTTTTAAATAAATTAATATAGAGAGGTGAGAAATAACAGACCTCAACTCTATTGTCTCTCTGCAAATTTGTGTACACAGAATCAATCCCTTACCTCTCTCTAAAAGTGCAAAGTTTCAAAAAGTTCAATTAATAGAAGATTGTTGGGGGCGGAATACATCTGGACAAGGAGAAGAAGTCTGGAGATAAATGTGAGAAGTGAGGGACATATGCTTGTTTTGTTAAAATATGATATGTTTGCTGTTGAAGAAAAAAATCCAGAATACTTAACGTTGTTGTTTTAGTTAAATAAAACAATTTAAATGTCTGGTGATGTTCTCCTCCTAATACAGCCTGGCAAGAAAATCCTCCAAATATTAATGATTAACCTGTTGAATTGGAGATAGTTCACCTCCCAGTGACTTCATAAATATCTGCTTCAATTACCTTTGGTAAATGAAATAACCAAACAATCATTCATTTTCTGATGTAGCTGTAAAACTAATCTGAAAAGTTTTTCAAAATAAATCACGGTTTAAAAATGTATAGTGTGTACCTTCTAAAAATGAAACCTATATCTATGAATTGGGAAGAATATATATTAAGGTTATAACAACCAACAAGAATGCACTTTTTTGTAGAAAATAATGATTAAATTGAGTCTTCCTGACTAGTGATTTAAATCAAATCCACCCTGAAATAAAGCAATAGACTTGAAAGACACGTATTGAGGGAACCAGTGTATGAATTACACATTAATACACAAGCTGGTTCTACCAGAGACTGTGGCTGGTTGCTTTCATTGTCTTGGCTCATTCACACATTTAACAGAGATGGCTTCACTACATGATGGACACAATATAAAGCCTAAGCACCAATGGGAAAGCTTGTGGTAGCCATACATACTTTGGGAATGCGAGTGTGCCTTGCCATGCCAGTACAGTTACTGAATTCTAACATGACTGTGAGCGTTGCAGCAGGTTTTCCCCCTGGGCCGCCTCTGGCATACAGCTATACACACTTGCAGTTTAAAGTGCGAGGTAGCGCTAGTACCCTGGTGACTTCAACCTTTGAAAAAGGCTTTTCTGCTGCTCCATTTGAGTCAGTAATATGCTGCTTGCAGATCATGCCCCATTGAATCACTCCTGCCTCACCCATGATTGAATTCAGGAGAACCCCTTAACCCTACAGCATGGCACAGTGATGCAGAGTACATCGGTTCTAAGTTGGTGGGGGCTGTAGGGCTGTGTGCACCATAAAGGTCAAATCCATTGATTGAGGTGCTGTTGCTTGGAAGTAACACTGCTTTTTGCTCTCCCCTTTCTGTCGTTGGCAGATGTTAATGCAGGAGAGCGAGGTCAGACCAATAACGCAGCTTCAGCATCAGCCTCCAACTCCACCTGAAGTGGTCCCACGCAAGCCAGCTGCACAGGAAAAATCACCAGTAATTTGAGTCTTGCTCAGCAACACTGGTCACATTTGGAAAGAAAATTAAAAAGAGGAAAAAAACAAAACAAAACAAAACCCTGTTCATTTTAGTGTTCAATTTTTTTATTATTATTGTTGTTCTTATTTAACCTTGTAAAATATCTATAAATACAAACCAGTTTCATTGTATTCTCACTCTGCGGGGTCTCCAGGGCAAGGGAATAGGTGGGGGGGAGAAGGGAAAGTGGAGCAATAGAACACATCAATGTCTCTTCCCTTGACAATCTCTTCGTATGGAAAGTTTGCTGTTGTGTACTTCAGAACCAGGACTCTTGCCTCATGCCCCCTCCCACAACAGAAAGAAGGAAAAAAAACCTCATTTTCTGCTGACTTTTTTTTTTTATAACCTCTTTTTTTTATTTTCTTTTTAAGTGAAGTTTCAGACTTTGGTGTAGTGCACAGCTTGAATTTGGTTGGGAGCTTAGCCGGGATCATTCAACAGAGCTAAGCGTTTCTTGTAAGTGAATCCATATCTAGGCTATCAGAAGAACTGCCTTTGGCATGGTCTGGGAGGTGGGGAGGTGATAGGACAATAGGTAGCCCAGGGGGTGGGGGGGTGCTTACTGTATGTCTAAACTTGGAACTGCTAGTGGAAGACTTATTTTAAAAATTAGCGCTAGCAATAGAGAAACCTGCAGCTTCAATATGGAAAAAAGTCTATCAAGTGGGATATATATATTTATAATATATACACACACGCATGTCAAACACGCCTGGTTAGCTTTATTGAAGCAGCTTGTTTGCCTAGTCTGAGCTCCTCCACCAAGTCTTGGACTTCTTTGTTTTTAAAAGAGCCATGTAGTGCAAGAGAATGGCCAGTCAGCTCTAATCTCCAGCAGAGAGAAGATGATGAATGGAATCCCACAGGAGGAGGGGGCAGGCGGAGTTATGGGGCCTTTTGGAAAGTGGCCACTGTGAAAGCATTTTTCGGTTTTTCGCTCTGAACGGGATGCCCTTTCCCGAGATGCACACAGGAAAAGGACATCAGAGTTTATAATGTGAACTGTAACAATCTACTGGTTTATTTGTAATATTTTTTTACTGCAGTTTGAGCTTGCAGATTGCCACGCTCTATAGATCTAATTTTAAATCCACAGCTAGAATCTGTATTTAATTTCATCATTTTAACCTCCTGCTTTTTTATCTTTATTTATTGATGCATGTGGAGTTGCCATTATGATGTTTTTACATTGGTAGAATAAAATACACATCAAAGTGATATCAACAGTAACTTGTACCTGCTGACTTGAGGGGAAGCTGACTACATAAGTGTGTGTATATAATATAAATAGATATGTGTATAACATAGATACAGTACTGCTTTTTGAGTTTTATTTTGTCTACAGCCATTAAATTGTCTGATTGAAGCATAGGATGAATGTTTGTTTCCAGTCTGAGTTTAAGGGTTTTTTTCTGTAGTGGTGAATGGTGTAAGAATCAAAGTCTCCATTTCTGAAGTTAAAGCAATATTCTTGGAAAGAGTCAGTTGAGCAGCAGGAAGTTGCAGCTGCAATGTAGAAATAGACTTTTGAGACCTGGTCTGTCTTATCCTTGAGGCTGATGTCCATGTGGGCCTTATACACATTCAGAGAAACCTTAGTCACCTTGGTGCTTATGGGCTATTACTTGACCTGTGGATCTTTAAGGCACAGTAAATTGTTTCTGACATTTACAGACTTTTATGTGTGGCCCAGGAGTAGCCAGCAGTAGCGGCTAAGTAAACTCAGTCACTGCAGGGTGGCAGGAGGTTTGTTTATGAATTCAGTACATTTCCTGTCCCTGTGCTTCATATTTGCCCCTGTTTGTGGGATTTTTTTGAAGGAATGTTTCTTAGCAGCCATAGAGGTCCCTCTGTCCTGTCTGATGAACAGTGGAAGTCTGGGAGGGGAGTTGTTTGCACAGATGAATGTATATACCTGGAAGAAGAATGGATAATTCACCTTAGTTATGTCCCTCATTATTTAGTGAAACTGGGGGCAACAGAAAAGATTTTTAAGCAGCTCTAGACCAATTACAGCTGAAGAGAAGGAAAATCACATTTTTCAATGGAACAAAAACACCCCCAGCTCCTGTAATAAATAACTGAGGCCTGAAAGGAGTGTTAATGCAAGAAATCAGCCAGTGAGTGCCATGAATGATGGACTAGAGCCTGGATGATCAAATGTCCGGAGAGATTTTAGAAGACTTGAAAAGCAGAGGACAGTAGCAGTGACTAGATCTGCTTTATAGACAAGACAGCTCGAAGGCTGGGCAAAGACATTTACTCTGTACTGGGGACAGTAAATTACCAAGTTGATAAAAATCGCTGCTTGTTTCAGGTGCCGTCCTAGGTGGTTTGTTTGTTTGTTTTCATTCAAGGTTGGTAGAGAAGGAGAGTTAAGAGCTTTTCCCTCATTCTTTTAGTTCTACTTCATGACGGTGCAAGTGTGTCTGTGTGTAAGCTGGTGTCTCTGATTTTCTTTTTCAAGGATCATGGCAGGATCACAAACGCTTTTATACATGTTAGATCCAGGCCTTTGAATAACTTTTTTTTTTTTTTTTTTTTTTTTTTTTAAAAGGGGATTGGGGGGGGCCCCCC